GCAGATATGTAAAAACTGTAAGCTATTTTCCGACCACGCGCTGTGGTTTGGTACAGAACAAAAAAACTTTATAAACACGTAAAAGTATATAATTTTAACGATTAAAATATAATGCAACAAGTAAGTTTTGCGTGTTACAAAAGAAATATACATAATTTTTTTGTTTTATTTTTATGGTCATATATTTTCTTTCATATATCATATTTTAAACATATAAAACATATCTTTTTTAAAAAAATATATATTCTGAAAACATCTTTTTTGCGTATATATAATAAATATTTTTATCAAATATAAATTAGTAAAATTAATTCAAAGTAGTTGTATAAAAAATGGTTTTAAAAGTAATTAAAAATAATTTACTGTTGCTCTCAAGTCGCAAATATCATCAAAGTGACTTTTTACGCAAATGTAAATGACCAGAGAAGAAATTAATAAAATTGCAGCATAAATCTTCAATAAATATAATTTCCATGTGGCACTTATGTACATGACGCTGCCGTTAGATTTATAGGTTCTTAGCTATACGGTTACATATTTACACACAAGTCGTGATTCAGCAGATATTTGATCCAAAGAGTTCATATGTACAAGAGAAATTTTCTTGATCTGTGCAAAAGTTAGAAAGAACTTAGAAAGAAGAGCTTATTAACAATTAAAATTGAATGTAATTAATGTATTATATATATGTGTAAATAATGTATAATATATATGTATATAACTTTTACACTGTCACATATATAGAATGCAGTAACATTTTCTCGAATTTTTTGTTATGACGCAAAGAGCCGAGCATGTAAAAATCATTGTCTCCAGTTTTACGTAGAAGATTCTACGTAATCTATGTGACATTGTATTTTCCGTTATGGTTTTTGCCGCAGTAAAATCACATGTCGTGGTTAATTGCAGCGGAATTGCGGACGTCAGCGTCATCGTGCGGATCGCTGATCAGAAGCGTGCATTAACATGCTCGGGTGTGCCTCCCGCGCCCACTCTCGGCCTTGAGCCGAGAGCCTGGATCACTTGCGAGAGAACGAGAGAATCGCGGTCTAAGCGAGAAGAGTGAGAACGGGAAAAGAGAGAAAGAAAAGAGGAAAGAATGAGTAAGAGAAGAGGAGGATACAAAAGAGAAAACAAGAAAAAAATCATAAATAAAGGTAAATATATTAAATACATATATGTATGTATATGTAATACATACATATATATAAGATCAGAAGTAAATATATTATACGTATTTTTTTATATTATTAACATATATAATTTATATCTCATCTCTTAAACAGGTTATATATTAAATGTGACATATTTCATCTTTCTTTGACTATTTTATTATCACGTAATTATTCTCTAGAGAGAACTAGTGGTTATTAAAGAAATTACTCTTTCTACTATGACTATTTATGTTTTGTTATACAACAAGGCAATTACGTATAAAAAAGTAATTCAAATAACGTATAATTAATTCTAATTATGCACAAAGAATTTGAAAGAGAAAAAGAAATACTTTTTTAAAAACTTGAATTTTATCATTATCTTTTACTTTTCAAATCTTATTAATTATAAGAGATAGTATTTTAACATTTGAAAATAGGTCTGTCACTTTTTTTTATTTTTTCACAATTAAAATAAATTTTTTACAGAAATATTCAAAGTTACCGTTTTAAAACAAAAAAATTATGTCAGGAAAAATAAATTGTCTTTTATTGAAGATCGATGTTTTGCTCTAATTAAATAATTAAAAAGACAAGATTTATATCGCGAATAATTAAAAAATGATAAAATGACATACTCCAATTTGTTGTGTATTTTATTGACGTAAGGAAACTTAGGTGAACAGGAAGATAAGACCGGTCGGTCGATCGGTGTCGGTCGGTCGGTTGGTTGGTTGGTCGATCGGTCGATTCGCTTCGTGCAGTTCACCATGGAAGAGGTGAAACAAGATTGTAACTAGAAGAGAAGGTTGAGGTTTGAGTTCGAGGCCGGCTCGCTCACTTTCCCACACTTATATACGCGTATTCATAGACATTGCACGTGTTCCTGTGAGAGTTCGCATGCGCAATATGTACTCGATAGAGAAATACGCTTGTGTACTTTTAAAATCCGGTACGTCGATTTTAGGACAGTATCACGTTACACAACTTTATCCGCACAATAAACGTTTATGTCAATGCAAAAATAATTACGCGTTTATTTGCATGTTCAAAAATAATATATTGACCCTTTTATAATAAGGTTATTGATGAAAGTAAAATCTTTCTAATAGCCGATCACAGTTTCAGATGTAAAATAAAACTAGTTATTCTTTTTCCGAGAGACGTGACGTAAATACATATTATTTTATTAAGCAGGAAAAAACAGACGTGTATCAATTTACCGCGTATTTAAGCAACACTCAGATAATAATATAATGAAGCAATGTGTACGTGTATATACGCCTTATATATACATATATGATAAGGTAACGCAGTATCACTGCGTACATGCATGTATATATTGTTTCATTATCATCTTGGTACCACTTAAATGCCCGGCAAGAATTGGTGCAACAATATATATCTCTTGTTGCTCGCACGCGCCAGAAACATATAAAACAAGTTCCACTGACTTGTCTTTCTCGTTTTTCGGCGATCGACAATGAAATTTCTGAGTTTGTGTTAAAGATCGTATACAATTCGTACAAGGAACTGTTCAATATTTGCATAATCGAGATACGCGAGAAATATTGCTGTTGATCCCGACCTTGAAAAGAAATTGCAACGGTCAATGTCACAGGACGACAAGAAGCTTGTCGGGTCGAGCCAAGTGGCCGAACAAGAGGTAGCTATCGAGGAGGACAATGCTCCTTCTCAAGGATATCCACTCTCTTCGATAGAGTCGAGAGAGACAACCGAGAGATCGAGAATGCTAACCCATGTACAAGCCACGTTATTCGTTGATAAAATTCGCGATCTTGACAGGAGGAGAGAGAGAAAAGAGAGAGAGAGAGAGAGAGAGGAGGAGGGAGAGAAAGAGCGAAAAGTATTAATATAGATAGTGTTTTAATTGTGCAATTTATAAAATGTGCACAATTTCTCAACTGTATCATGTGTAAAGTATTATATATGTTGTTGTGTAAAAAATACATATATAAAACTAAAAAGTATAAATCAACATTAGCAAAAGTGTTATTTAAAAAAAAAACTAAGAAACGCGTATGAATGTTTATTCTAGTAATGTTTATTTTTCAGACGATAGTCACACTTCTCCTGAGTGAACAACTTTTATTTTTATATTTTAGATATCTAGAACTACTATAACGCATTAATGCTTTCAATAAGGGATGTAGAAAGTTTCCACCCTACGATGACACGTGTAGAGAAAGAAGCTTTTACTTTTTTGCACTCTCTCTCTCTCTCTCTCTCTCTCTTTCTTTCTCTCTTCCTCCTCCTTGCTAAAAACAATAACGCATCCTAATGTACACTGGTTGGCTGATGCTACGCGTAGCGCGGCACATAAACATCTAAACAATTATTGTCTTTTATTGTATATTCAACTTGTTAATTTAATTTATATTTTATTTATAGAAAAAAATTCACGCGACACGAAACGTCACAATGGAAGGATTTGACTGTAAAAACATAAATTTATGTTAATTGAGGTCATGACATCTCTATTTTGTCGCATGCGGGTACTACCAGCAAGTCGCAGTATCGAAAACGGTAAATACCCTCATTTCATTGCTTCTTTCATGAATGACATGATTTGGATAAAACGTTATTCTAGGCCTCTCTGATAACATAATAGATTTATTGTGAGACTCTATTAGATTTCTTTAAAAGAACAACATGTGTAAACCTGTTTTGTAAAAAGAACTGTGTTCACGTATTCACATTGGTTTAAAATCATATCATATCACTAATGTCAATCAGTTTACGTGTGCGCACACAAGAGAGTGACAGAGTTTCGAATAAGAAGCATTCGAAAATCGAAAAATCAAAACAAATCTGTGCTACTTAATGATTCTCTTTTATTTATTCCGTATTTACCACTAGTAAGTTATCGACTAGTTATCAGGTCAGATACGAGTAAAAGCGAGTAAAGACGAGATCACGTGCACGAAGTAAACATTCTATATCTGTGCAAGTGTGCCGGAATGTCTCGGAACACAAAGATATCAGAGAGAATAATGTGTGTATTTCAAAGTATTATATAAATGTCTGCGTTCTTTAAAGTAAAATTTCGAAAATCGAATTTCTTTCGAGAAGCATATTAAGAACAAGCGCAAAGTAATTATAATAATTATTTTTTTTACCTATAGTTGATATACAAAATAAAAAAATATTGTTGGTAAGGTGTATAAAAACAAAAACAAAAATAAAGCAACGCGTTATTACATACAGCAAAGCAGGTTGCCAGATTTAAAAATGATACGTCAGGTACAATTAGAGAAAAAAGCATTTCTATAATTTGCAATAGACAATTTTTTATCTTTCATTATTAATACGATTGCACGAAAAATCGGAAGATAATATTATATATTGATAATACACGCGTATACACAGAGAAACACAAATACACGCACAAGTATTTCTATATGTAAAAAAGATATAAAGATGATTTATGTGACCTTGAGTGATTTTGTTAAATGTTATGTCAGGATCGATCACTATCAGGTACTGTTTTAAAATATTATTGCTTTCATATTGTTTCAAAATTGTTAAATTATTATTAGATTATTAAAATTTTAATTTAACGTTTAGTCATGTATTTTATTTTAAATCTGCTTTTCTGAATGTAATTGTTTCAAAATATTTAATACTCAACATTTTACTTGCGCAGTAGAAATTGGACAGATTTTACGATGATAGCATTAGTCACTATTTTATCTTAATATGTGACTTGCGTTAGAACTTCCTTATTTACAATTAGATGATCAGTAATTACTTGAGTGTAGGTAGATACCAACTTCCGTCCTAGTTACTTTATTAATGATCAGCTAAAAAACAACGAGTACTCACCTACTTTACCGTTGGGACTATACGGATCATAACTGCTGGTGCTCATGGGACTCGCGTATCCATTATTGCTGACTTGTTGCTGCTGATGCGCGAGCGGAGGTTGCTCCGGCAACTGAGAAGCGTAAATCACGTGACCTTGCAGAGAACTCTGCGGCGACCCGGGGCTGTTCGTCGCTAGCCAATCATCCATCCTGGCTGTCTTATTGCTATTGGTAATACTGCCGAATAGGCTGCCCCCGATCGGTCCAGCGGCCACGGGGGGTACCGTCAAAGGTGACGTCGATATCTCGGCCTTAACCAACGTCAGGGATGCGGCACCGGCAACAACAGAGGTGATCGTGCCACCCGTGGCAGTGCCACCGTTCGTGGTGTCCATGCTCGAATCGCCACTGGTATCCATGATGGGTTCTATCTTTGCAGTTGCTGTCTCTATCACCGTCGCCGTCGTCGTTGTAGTCGTCGTCGTGATGGTGGTTGACAGATCAACTGCTTCTCTTAGCCTGGATGGGGTTGCCAGAACGACACCCCGCGTAACAACAATCTCCGACCCTTCATTGTAGCATACGACTCCGTCGGCGGCACTTAGTAAGCTAGTCACCGTGACGGATCCCACTTCCGGTCCCGTGATAACAAACGCTTTCTCGTCTTCGTTTTCGGCCAGTCTTTACACGTGTTTTTTTTAATGTTATAATGTTATCGTTCCAGATATTCCTCAATCCTTATTTTATCTTTGTGTTTTTTTCGATTGCGTTCAAATAGCGACTGAGTCTTTTCGAGATAAAGTTGCCGCACTACAAACTTAACTTTTAACTTTTGTCCGAGTAAAAGTTCGTGACGAAACGATCACTGGAAGATATTCTCTCGAAAGAAAGAATTGATAATTTTAAATTATTCAACACTTAGATTATGCATTCGGTTAAAATTAAGATCGCATTAAGAAAAGTAATCACAGCCTCCAACTATATCTTGACATGCGCGAAAGTTTCTTGTATCGTCATAGTTGAAATCGTTGCGTATTGGTGCCTCGAGGTACCTGCAACACGAGAGAAATCACTTTCTTAGTGGATGGTATTTTCTGTGTAAAAGGTGTTCGATAAACAATTTTAATTATAATTACTTTATTATGTGTGTGCACAGGCTGTTTTCTATTAGTCTGATTACACAATTTTCTATTGATAATTTTCATGATTATATTTAATGTTTCGCGCAGAAATACAGAGAAAGAAGAAAGATCGAAGACAAGAGCTCTAAAAAAAGTATATGAGGATGGCTGGAAGAGGAAAAATAGGAAAACAAGACTGGAAAGAAAAGAGGAAAGAAGAAAGGAAGAGAAAGAAAGAGAGAGAGAAACAGAAAAGATGAGATAGAACAAAAAGAAACAGGAACAGGAGAGGCAATAGAAAGATTGCGAAGACGAGGACAAGGACGAGGAAGAGAGGGAAGAAAACGAACGGGGGCGGTTGGAGTATCGGGAGGGGATAAAGAAGAAGGCGGAGCAGACGAAGGGGAAAAAGAGAGGAAAAAAAGAGGAAGAGAGACCGAGTATGAAAAGAAAAGACGAAAACAAAAAGGTAAAGACGAATACGCCTGTTCCAAGAGTTGTTGTGTTTCACTGAAAAATAATTGCACATTACTCGAATGATACTCGAAGATCGTACGAGTTCGCTGCATTATCGATCAGGTTGCCCGTTTTCTATTCCTCCCCTCCTCGTTTTCCCTCGCAACAGGATTCAGCGCGTAGGAGGAGCCTAACCTTCGCCGCTAACCCTGACCCATCCTATTGGCCGTCATAAGAATTTTGTTTCCCACCGCGTTTCGCATTGATATCTAAAATCACGGAGAGCCTACTTTATCACTAAAAATCTCGCTATCCCGAAACTAAAGTTCTTTGGCTTTAGAGATATTGATTAAATTAATCAATACCGCACAATGTACTCCGAGTATCTGCAAAACAATAGTATCACGCTTCAATAACTGCAATAATAATCTCCTAAACGTTTCGCTTCTAAGATAGTAAAAGAACGTTTAAAACATGAGACACGCGAGGTTTTCCATAAAATTTCAACAAAGCTATAATAACGTTATTTTTAAAAGACAATGTTTCTTTGCAAAGAAAACTTGAACAATGCAGGCGTTTTTTAAAACTCGGTTTTCAGAAGCGATTTAAAAATAGAAACTACTCTGTTGAATCTAGATCTGTCTTTAAAGAACAAAAATACGAAATAAAGAAAGTTCGCAAATTTTTGATACGCAAACTATTCTGCAATGTTTAAAAATCGACAGGTTTTTCGCGAGCGCTCGAGAGAGGCTAGGCGTTGCGCTACTGAAATTGGAGGACGATGAAAGTGGAAATGAGCGTCGAGGACATTTAGGTCAATGCCTGCCCTCGCTCCAGGGTTCGCATTCGTGTTGCGGATACCGAGATCCGTCTCTCTCTCTCTCCGCCTCGCCGAGTCCAAGTTCCAGAACGAGCTGGGCCGAATCGAGCCGCGGCGAGCCGAGAGCCAGACCGTTTCCTTTCTCATCGTCTCTCGCGCATCCACGGCAAACGCGCCGCGCTGTACACGGACGTTTCTAAATATTGTGTGTGTCCCAGAATTATCACTAATTCCGCGCCTTTATTCCTACGATCTTCGGGCGCGCGAGCAAGTGCGGTATTTCTGGGACAGCCTATACATCTACACACATGTACATACACATATACTCATGTATATGACACATACACGTATTTATCGGTGGCCCTTTTCTCTCGTCTCACTCTCTCCTGGTAACTAGGGCATCGGATCGATCCTGCAACGGCGACACAGACGCCATCACCACTACCATCGCTACCACCACCACACCGACCATCGCTACCACATTTCTACTAACATCCCCACTTCTTTGCTCCCACTCTCTAACTACCCACTACCACCTCATCACTCTACCACTACTATTGCATCGTCGTCGGTTTCTTCACAATCACTATCACAACCTGACGACACGAGACTGGCTCGGTGCCTTGATCTGGTTGCGAGGATATCAGCGAACGCGGTTCAGATTTCTCCCGTGCAGAATAGTCGAACGGATTTTCAAGTGAAAAAAGCTTTTTATAGACCAATTTTATTTTATTTATACAGTTCAATCCTGTATAGATATAATAATTCCAAAACACTTTTAAATTGCATTGAATTGCACTTTTGTATTGCATTTTGTAAAATTTTGTCTAAATTTAGCACACAAAAGTTTAAAAGGCTATTTCAAAAACTCTTCTAACAAACATTCAGAACGCTTTTAGCTTTGTGTGTGTTATTACTTGTTCTTGCTTTTTCCGTCTCTTTTATGTTAAACCACGGAAATAAATGTTAGACGTCTTTATGACGATGCAGTCCGACTCAGCACAGAACGTTGTGCGTGCGTATGAATGTGTGTGCATGTGTGTCGATTTGACCTAGATGCAAAATTTATGCTTGGTCTCTACAAACGTATGCGCATAAAATTAGTTTTGGAGACACTATGAAAATCTCGCACATTTTATAATAAAACAGTCTCGAAAAACTCGTAAATGTCAAAATTCAACAATTTCAAAATATGTGCATTATTACGCGATGTGACAATTGCAAAATGTTTGCAATTCATTCGCAACAATTATAACAATTGTATAATTAGAATTTCTCTAGGGAAAAACAATCGCAAACTGGGTAATTTACGAGAAAAAACAAGTGTTGTTTAACATCAAATCCACAACTCAATTGTATCTATCGGAATGAATATTGATGAAAAAAAAACACATAATACATTTAAATAAAATATCGTATTCTTGTTTTTTTGCTGACTGTAGTTTGTAGTGGTGGAATTTTCTCATTTTCTGTTGCCTGCGCACGCATCCCCGTTATCGCGTCTCTGCAATATTTGATATCTCGCCGTGGCGATTAAAGAGAGAGAGAGAGAGAGAGAGAGAAAGAATCGCTGTATATATTAAAAAGAAAAAAATTAAAGTCGGGACCGATTTGTCGTTAGCTGGACGAAAGCGACTATATTCTGTGCTCTACTCGCAGCGCGCATGTACTCTGCGTGCAAAAGCACGACCACGACGACGACAACGACGTCGTGACCATCACGACTGACGTCCGCCGTCGCCGTCGCCGTCGCCGACGCCGACGCCGACGCCGACACCGAACGCTAACATAGCCAGAGCAAGAGAAAGAGAGAGAGAGAGAGAGAGAAATCGATTTCCGCTCCTTCTCATAGATTCGCTTTCCAGACGAAAGGCGACTACGCGCCCGTACATTTGGGTGTGCATAAATACGGTATTTTCGAGGACAATGTAAACATTATATTTTTGCAATTTTATGGGAACAAAAGCTTCGCGATATTAACTTCAGAAAGATTATACTCATAATGATGCGAATTATTTATAGATTCTGTCGACTTGTAAATCATTATTCAATTCGTTTCGCAATCGCGTCTCATAATAAATTCTAATGAATGTCCGACGAATTAAAATTTGTGTGCCTTATTTCGCAATGTATTAGTAATGAATTTTTTTATGTATATATATATATACATACAAAATATATATCCAAAATCTAATTTAGATTTTAGATTATACTTTTTTATGTGTGTATATAGAAAACAAAAAATAACGATAAAAACTGACAATCGGTACAAAAATAACAATCGGATTGATAATTAATCATATTATGAGTGTCGTAAAGTTATTTATAATATTCGTGAAATGATCATAAATATAAATTATCATTCGAACTAATTATCGTAAGTAATTATCGTAAGTAAAAAATCGCTCAAATTTTATACCTTACACTTCACGTCGTTAAATATCTCGTTAAGGAAATACATAGAGTTAAAAAAAAAAAAAGGAAGACACAAAGCGAACAGCGTATTTTGCTGGGCGGCTTTAAAGTTAATCATGTATAAAACGGACTTATCAACTCAGCGAAATGTCAGACAGCTAGAGAAACGGTAAGTCAGCATTTTCAATTAGCAGACCATCTTTGATAGTGCGTAGTTGAATAAAAGACGCTCTAAAAATCTCTAACACAATCGTGATAGAAGTACAAAGTTTATAGTAGAACTTATTTTCGATGTGTAAATTCGAAAATTCGAAACACTTTGTGAATCAAAGAATTGAAGAGATTTCAAAAATCGTAATCTCAAGAAAAAAAAACCTGAAATTAAACAAATGAAGAATAAAATAAAATAATAAAAATAATATAAAATAAAATAAAATAATATAAAGTTGTGGATATGGGCTCTCTTGTATCAACATTTACTGCTCTATACGCAGTTGAGAATTCAACTAAGATAAAAGATCAATAAATAAAAAGATTACAGCCAAGATTATAGGAAACTTGCAAAAATCTGTGCGCCTGTAGGTATGCTACAGGTTTTGATCCTGTAGGAATGTAGTCGGCCATGGAGGGAACGATACATGAAGGAAAAAAGGCGAGGAAGAGAACGAAGAGAAATAGTCTACGACGTAGACTCTGCGCGTTTTGCCGCTTCCCGTCAGCAGCTACGAGAAGCGAAAGTAAGAACCAGCGGTCATAATCGGCCTTGAACCTAGCAGTAGGATCGATGATCTCATCCCCCGAATGCGTTCTGATCAAGACTACGAAGTACTTTCGAGAAATTTGCACGAGCAAACAAATTAGTTTACACAACATTTACATCGTTAACTTATTTTTCTATCAATTATAATATTTCTTCAAAGACAGATATATATATATATATATAGACTCGCAATCATATAATCTTGAAAGAGTCAAGAAATTTACGTAGATAGAATTTGTAAGAAGATTTTAGATGCGAAAGAAGGATTTCGCGACTACATGAATTTGTAAAATATTTTCTCGGAAAGTAATTTTAAATGAGAATAATTTCTTTCTTTCTTTCTTTCTCTCTCTCTTCTTTTAGTGAAAAAGTTTTCTTTCTTTGATAAGTCTCTATATATATGTGAAATGTATTTTCCTTTAAATAATATTCTTGTCGTCGTAAAGTTTGCTCTTTTAGTTATTTTTTTTATTATGGACG